AAGGTAACATACATTCAAATTGCTCACTGCAATTTTTCTTCTTTGGTTATTTGTTTGTTTTGCTTTGTCTAATTTAGAAATTTATGTAAATCAACACGTTAAACATTAAAATTAACTGAAAACAGAGTTAGTTTCAGTTTTAGAAGTAAAAATCGATTATACGACGTTATCGTTTATACGACGTTTTTCGGTGGTCCCTTCGGCGTCGTATAAACGATGCTCCACTACTTTAAATGGCGCCAATCTACGGCTATTCTATAAAGAACTTCAACATTTTACGAATTGAAGCCATCAATTTATGCTTCGTAGAACGAAAATAGTAAAAAGATCATCAGTAACTTTGCTAAAAAAGAAAGAACGAAAATAGAAGTACAAAGTACACAAGAAAATGGATGTATATTTGTTTATATTCGCCACGGATTGGCAACTTCAGATTCTATCCGCGGGCCGGATAAAACCAGGGATGGGCCGTAGTTTGCCCATCCCTGGTTTAAAGCATAAGTCATTGTTTTAAATTTTACTATAAGCGATTCAGTTTTTCTTCTCATATTTTAAAAATAACATCAGTGATAATTTCTAACTATTTGATCAAACGGTAGCTCTATTCGAACAAAAAAAAATAGTTTTTAAAATTTAAATATTTAATTATTTTACATTCGCTGTGTCAGATAAATTCAAGAAAGAACATTACGTGGTAGCACATGTGAACCAAATTTATACTTTTATAGTAGAGCCCCTGTTTTATACTTGTCTGATACCTCGCGCTTTTTTATTTCAATCACACTCCTATACCCTTTACATATTTATATGGTTCAAATTTTCAATCGTTAATAAAATACTTTTTATTCAAGTTCAAATACATTTTTTTTAAACTGGTAGTGGAAGTCGACACTTGATATTAATAAAGTTTTTTTAAAAATAATAATTCATTTATTAAATTTAATTAATTTTAGTTTTTTAGAGAAAAAAATGTAATTATTTAATAAAAAAGTAACTGAAATAAATCTTTCCATTGTTAATCTAAGTAGGAAGTGACTTAATTCGTTTTAATTTCATACTACTTGTAAATTCCTCTTTTCCATAAAAGGAAAAACGAGGGGATTTTTGATGCTAATTGATGTCCTATGCCTCTGTTTCTGATGAAACTGACTCGCTTGTATTTGAAAACTGGAATTCCATGACGAGCGATACACAAATTGACTTTTCATTGGCAAAGAAGGCAAAAGAATTTAGAAGTACGTACATATCTGATACGATAGTACAGTAAGATTAAAGAAAAGTCTAATAAATGTTTAATACTCAATAATTTCATTTTGTTTTCTGAATAAAAAGAGAGAAAATAAATGTTTGTAAATTTGCTGAATAATGAAAATCTTTGGACCATCCGTGACCTCCCAACCCGACGGCCCTATTTACTGTTGTCCATCTCCTCAACCCCCGCCTTCGGAAGTTATTTATGACTCCACCTACTATAAATGTGGCAACTGATTTGGATAAACATTTTAGACCTAAAAGTATCAAATACGGAGGGAGTATAAGTAAACTAAAGCATTATTTTAAGTATCCCTTTAAGACATTTTGATATCAATACCTCTAAGGGTACTGGATCGTAGATTGATAGTGCTCTGGTTTAGGTCAATATTACAATCGGTGGAGGGATTGATGGTGTATGGATGTATGCTCTCTGTAAAAACAGGCTGTGACGTATGCGTGTAGCAGAAGTCGTATTCTTGGCCATAGATGGTGCCAGTGGAAAACAAGAAGAAGCGCATCCCTCTTGCTTTAATGGCAGACGACAACAACGAAAATCCATTTCAATGCAGTCTGGATACATTAATTCAACAAACCACTAGAAATGTAACAGTAGTTGCTTTTTAAGGTTTAGCAACCACTACTCTTTAAACGGCAAAAATCCGAAGTATGTATTTTTTATTTAGAATGTACTATCTACTATCGTTCCGCAGTAGACTGATCGTTAAGACACGGTTTTCAGCAGATCGCCGAGGTCAAGCATCACTGGCTGCGGTCAGTGTGCGGGTGGGTGACCACTTGGGACCGAAGGTGTGCGGTATGGGTCCTCGTTAAACTGTGCTACCGTAAAGTGCTCGACTTCGCATGCAGGTCGTTGGGCTACCGAAGCGGGGGTACCATCTCCTCTGCAGAGGATCAAAATTGTGATAACATGTCTTCAGATCATCCTCAGGGATGTTTCCCAGACCTTCGCCAATAGCCCATTGTGCAGCTCTAGTGCGACGTAAATGAACTGCAACAACTATCTACTATCGCATTTGCCAATGGGTGGCCTGATGAAAGTTCTCAATCGAATTTTTAATTAACTAAAAATAATAAAACTTTAAATTTTAATAAAAAAAAAAATTAAAAAGTTATGCAGAATACTAAATCACAGTTTCTTTCAGGAAAAAGAAGGCAAACTGGTATTAAAACAGTAGAAGAACATGGTATATTATAAAAGTTTTATTAACCCATTGTAGACCGATTGATTTAAGTACCTAACTGAGAGGAGACAGCCAAATTAGAAACTTTTGATTACGAATAATAAATTTTTTTAGTTGATTAGTGACCAGATCTAACCTCACTACATGCTTCGTCATTTATAAGATATCATAATAGTTATGAGTGGATTATCTCTTTTTGAAATAGACTGATAGTAAAATATTTGGGACTCCACTTTTCATTTATTCGATGTGAATCCACGAGGTTATCTCTCAAATGACGCGAATCGATTAAGACTATCTTTTTATAGTTTCATAACCGTCGTTGAACAGTACCGACCCAATTTTATGGGTTTACGACAGCTAATGTTCAACTCCGTAGCCTTGTCATTTTGAACCCTATCCAGAAGACAAAGGAGCTCCTGGATCGAGTGATGGGAGAAACATGTCTTCGTGGAGGACTTTTTGATGGAGCTAACCCGCATTTGCATTACATGGAGTGGAAGACCACGAAAACCTCCCACGGCTAGCCTGACGGCAAGGGGACTCTAACCCATGATCCGTCTACCACTGAGTATATTTCACGTCAGCACTGAAGTCGGTGTAAGCCGGATGCGGAATTCGTATCGACTGGGATTCGAATCCGGTTCACCTCATTGGAAGGCGAGCGCTCTATCCCCTGAGTCATCGTGGCTAGATTAAGACTATCTGAAATAAATCACATTTAAGGTCACCTTTTTTTAAAAAAGTAATTTTAGAATTTATAACAAATGTTCAAATCAGGACGGGACAGTGACACTACATTTCAGCCCCCTTGTGCCCCAATAATTCGTCTATAATTACGAGGCCTGGCCATGTGTTATCTCTTAGATGTTTTCAAATAATAAATGGTTTCGAGTTTGAAAATTGTAGGCTGAAATAAAAGCATTTATGTATATGAATAGAACACGAGAAATCTATAAGTGTCCCCGGCGCTTTCTTTATAAAGTAAAATATTGAGAACCATTATTTAAAATATTTTGTTAAAATTATCATACTGTGTAAAAAAAAATTTTTTTTACATCTGTTATAGGTAAGTACTTTATTTACATCTTACTAGAGCTGCACAATGTGCCCTGTCTGTGCAAATGGGCAGCTGTCTGGGCAGAGACCGATCAAGACAAATTCAGGCCCAAGGCCCACCCTATTTTCCGGATCCCTCCTTTGCAAAATATTTTAAATTTAAATTACCTCAGAGTAATCCTAACAATGAAAAAGAGTCTATTGAACTGCATAATTCAAAAGAAACATTCTGAGAACTTTTGAAAGCAAACAATTGAAGATTATTTTTCTAAGATAAAGTTTACGCATATTAGAGCAAAATATAAAACAACAAAACAATGTTATGTCAAAATAAAAATAGTTTGGTAACCACAAACAATTGATATCAGTGATTTTTGATAAAAGTCACTGATCAGCTGAATTATTTTTTATTGTAAGCTGTAATTATTTTTTTTATTTAGTGCTTAAACCAACACAAAGCTAGCCCACCTTTCATTAGATTGAATGATAAGTTCAGCATGCATGCTAAGATATTAAGGTTATTAATTATAATTTTTACTAAAAAATGCATTTCAACTTGTAAAAAATATTCAAAAGAGTCAAATTATATCTACTCACAGAAAATTAAAAACACATTTAAATAATAATTTATTCAGATATAAAACATTTCATGAAAATTAAAATTATATTCAATGATACTCAATGTATCAATATTCAAATATTATACTCAAAATATTGATACATTTAAAGGTATTCAATACAATGGACTTTGTAAGATTTTTTTAAACTTTTTTTTTAGCAAATAATTTTCTGAGAATTTTAAAGTCCTGTTTTGTAGTAATATCTGATTCAACTTATAACATAATAGGTTTTTCCTGCTTTTAAAACTTGACCTTAAGTATTACTAAATATAAAAGCAGAATATTAAAAAAGAAACAAAGTTATGTTCAAATGAAAACAGTTAAAGACCACAAACAAGAACTTTCACGGACTTCTGCTGTACCCACCTTACTTTTGAATTGTTTAACATTGTTAGAAAATTAATTTTAGAACAAAAACATAACATCCACATATAAAGCAAAACAATAACAATTATTGCCTTACCCTCTAGATTAGACTGCAAAGCAGAATTAACTTCATCAACATTCCTAGTTACACAGGATTGCAATGCTCGATGCTTTGCTTCCAGTTTTTTTTCAAGTGCTTAACCTAAAGTTAAAGAAAAGCATGATAAATTCGTTATTCCAAACTTTCCATTAGCATATCCATTTTTTAGATATGCTAAAGTATATTAAAATATACTTTAGCATATCGAAAAAGAAAAACCAGTCATTGGGATTAAATAGAATTTAATTTAAACCAATAACCATTTATTATAATAGACAACCATAATAATATTTTGTATAAATTGAGGATTATTAAAAGAAGAGGGTAGTGCTATCTGCACCAAAACACTCTAGCACTAATATTTTTCTGCAAGATACTTTTAATAATAAATATATATGTTACTAATTTAAAATAACAAAAGAGCTGTGTTTACAAGAAAAAAAAACTATATAATTTTTTTTCAATAAAACACGTCATAATTTTATATTCTAATATCATGAGTCATATTCCAGCATTTTGTAGGGGGGGGGAAGACACAAATTATTTCCTTCTTCGGATTTTGTAAATACTAATTATCACAATAAAAAATATTATTAAAAATCATGAAATCCGTAGTTGTTATTGCCGAAAAAGATCGACGTCGAAATTACGCAAATCGGGCTCCTTTGTTGTCATAAATTTTATAGCATTAAAAAAATATCGATGTAAAAAACTACGGAGAAATCAATAACAAAAACTGCCAAAAATTCGATAGAATTATCGCCGCCTTAAAAAGTAAATACTCAAATGCACGATTCGAAGTTTCCATATCGTTTGAAATATATCGGGATATTTAAAAGCCACGTGAAAATCAATATCAATAACTGCCGAAAATACAATTAAAACATAACATCGATTTACAATACTATCGTCGTAAATTCAGCGTATCAAAAAGTGATTATCCAAAAGCATGATTCAAATATTACGTGTAAATTTTTGTAGAAAAGAAAAGCAATTTTTTTTTCAAAAGAAAAATCTTTCTGCAAGAACTCTGTAACGTTCTGCAACAATGTCGCCCTGTTGCTGCGATTCAGCCACGGGGGCCCGAAGTTACAGCTGATAATTAAAAAGAAAATTGTAACACATTACTTACATTACTCTACTACACATATGCCTTCTTTTTTTTCCATCTATATTTCGTTAAGAAACTAATTAAAATCTTACCAACTTTTATAAAATTTTTAGAACAGATTTGAAGAAGTTTTAAAGACTTATAACGCTTTAAAGGTTAAAATTTAGCAACTTGATTCAATAGAACATATTTCAACCAATAAAATGAAACAAGTACAATTTCAAATTATTATTTAGTTTCTTTATAAACAAAGTTTCAATGCAAACATAATTCTTTATAAGGTCATATGAAATAAGTAGAATCTCTTTTTTGATTGAAGGGTATGCAAACTCTTTTGATTTAACAGTAAAATGATTGGCTTCAAACTTGGTAGTTTTGGTTTTGATCAATCAACTCTAGAACAAGATCTGAATTAAACAGATTACATAAATGTCATGCCCGTATAAAATCAGAGTTGTACACAATTGATACGCAATAATGAATATATCTCAGTAAAACGGCATTTTTTAAAACTATTTTTATTCTTTTCAAGTTTTTATTGCCTAAGTAATGAATGCTCTTTTCAGCTACAAGAACTGTTTAAATCTTTTAAATGTATAAAATCTGTCCCTGAGAAAATAATGAATTAAAGAAAATCTACCATCAAAACATTCAAAGTAAATATTCAAATGTAAATAATGCATACCTTGTTTTCCCGTTCCTTTTTGATTGCAGCTAATTCTAGTTTTGCTTCAGGTGTCAACATATTAGGAGCTAAAGACAGTGCTTTCTCAATATGTACTATAGTCCATTCCACCTTAAGTTGGCACTGGAGAGAAGGGTAAGCAGACCGGATTACAGCCGTTGTCGTGGAAACTGTGTTACTCCGTTGCTTAACTGACCTGTCATTAAATTATAGATACATAAGAGCAAATTTGAACAACTGAAAATAATGATATGGTAGAGTTTCAACCAGTTGAAGACATTTAGAGTTTCAATTCTCAACTTTCATATTATTCAAAGAATCAAAACATTTCTTCAAAGTATTTCAAACACGTCGCTCATGGGCTGCAATAGCGGCACAACTTAAAAAATCATGTTTTGAGGTAAGTGGGTTTAAAGTTTAAAGTTTTCATTGTTAATGAAAATGCGTAAGAAAAGCTTTAGTTTGCTTTAACGAAGATTACCTTCAAGTTGAATTATGAGTTGTGCTAGTATTGCGTTGAAAAGAATGTCTATTTTCATATTTGCTCCTGTTCTTAATCCAAAACGAGTGTTTTTTGAATTGTGCCACTATTGCAGCCCATGAGCAATGTTAGAAAGCAGAAAATACAGATAGGCTTTTATTACATCAAGCGGGAGAATTACATATCTTTATTCTGATTTGTGCAATGTTTACGTGAGTTTGGTTGCATCACGATGTAAAGAAAATTTGAGAAAAACTGTTTCTTTCAGTATTCAAAAGAAGTTGTAATATTGAGGACTCTTTACTAATTTTAGAGGCCCCTCAAAAATACCGAGCCTTTGTGATAATCAGGCCATGAGTCTGGGAAATATCCCTGAGGATGATCCGAAGACATGCCATCGCAATTTTGATGTTCGGCAGAGGAGATGGCTCCTGTGCATTGGTAGCCAGACGACCTGCATGCGAAGTCGAGCACTTTACGGTAGAACAGTTTAACGAGGACGTTAACAGTTAAATACCGCGCACCCTTGGTCTCTACGCAGACTGATCCAAGTGGTCACCCACCCGCTTACTGACCACAGCCAATGATGCTTGACTTCGGTGTCCTACTGGGAACCGTGTGTTTAAGATTAGTCCACTGCGAGACTGAAATCTGCTACAAAAAAGAAAGAAAACGAGCTAACAATAAGTATTTTTATTTACTTATGCTATGACACACCAACCAAGGATTTGAACTCGCAGACTTGAGATTTATAATTCGGTGCTTCGTACCATAGAATGGGAGCGTGGTCTCACAATTCAGAATGTTGCTGACGAAACTCTCACTCATCAGGTTATCCACTTCTCTCGGCTGCGCTGTGAACCGGTGATCGAAATGGACTACAGATGGCGTAGGGCAGAACTCTCTATCTATCGCAGTACTTCGCATGGGTTCACCATTAGCATGTGGAGAGTCAGAGGAGAATAAAGTACGTTAGTTTCTATCTTGATTATTTAAATAATTTAAAAAGTTAGGAAACTATATGAAACTGAAAACTACATTCAACATAGTTCCAAAAGAAAGCGTCGTGGAAATTTTAATAAATATTTATGACAATCAAATACGAAAAATATTAAGAAAGTGAGAAATATCGTAGATCATTCCTATACAACTGAGAAAAGAAGGAGAGGGAAGGGACAAGCCATGGAACCAGTCTTCTTCCTAGATGGCATATTCGAGCGTTGCGATTGCGAATTTAGCCTTCTTAGGCGGCAGAAAGTCGCGTTTTAAAATTTCAACTAGACATGTTATTGTAGTAGTTGTAGTTCACTTACGTCGCGCTAGAGCTGCACAATGGGCTATTGGCGACGGTCTGGTAAACATCTCTGAGAATGATCGGAAGACATGCCGTCACAATTTCTATCCTCTGCAGAAGGAATGGTTCCCCTGCTACTCGAAGTCGAGAACTTTGCTCTAGAACAGTTTAACAAGGACCGATACCGCGCACCCTCGGCCAAATAAGTAGTTTGATCAAAGTAGTCCTATTCAGGCTGTAGTCCTACTCAGGCAAAGTGGTCACCCACCCGCTTACTGACCGTAGCCAGTGATGATTGACTTCGGTGTTTTACTGGGAACCGTGTCTTAGCGATCAATACGCTGCGGGATGGCTTAGTTATATAAAATACGATTTTAAGCAATGAATTTAAAGCTAAAAATTACCTAAATATTTTTTAACCAGACTCAATAATTTTACTTAAATCTGATAATTTTGTGTTATTTACAAATTTATTTACAATTCAACATAAACATTTAACGAAGAAACTGAAACAATCTTAAATAATGAACATGCAGATGCAGACTTAAAATGATTAAAACTGCACTCAACATATTTTACTCAATAACTCATTATAAAAACCTGTTTAGAATCGGAACGTTGGAGATGCGTACAACAAAAACGGTCCTTAAATTGAAATAAATAAAAATTTAATGGCATCACTCTGAATGTTCCGCTATGCAAGCAAAATGCATATTTTTTATTATAAATTAAAACTCTAGTTCAATAATACTTTACCAATATTCTATAACGTTTATTCTCGTTGCGTTTATTAATTAGTTAAATATATAAATGTATCTTGTTCTTTTATAGTTTTCCAAAAGTGAAGACTGAAAATAATGGAAAACGCATCTAGCTCATTAGTTTGTAGTTCTGATGTTGCGGCGTTTGTTGATGCATTAGAGACTTTGAATTGCAACGAAACTGTTGGGTAAGAGCAATGAATTATTTGCAAGGCTACAATATTTGTAAAAAATGCAAACTTCCGTTTATATACTTTGAACAACTCTATCTTAACATATTTTTATTGTGTAAAAGCAATCGCTGATTTATACTGCTTTGTGTAAATCCGTGATTACCTATATTAAACCTAAAGATTTTCATCACAGATTTACACTAAGTTCTAATATGTGACATACTAAAAACCTGAGTTTGATGATCATGCGTTTGTTTATATTTTAACATGAAAGAGTATGTTTGTACCTTCTAACGTTGCTTATTTATTTATCTGATAAAATGATGTGTCACCTTGTCAATTATTATAATTATTTACACTTATATTAATTTATCCTATTTTTTTAATTCTTTTATTAGCATAGAAATTCCACTTTTTTATATAAATTTATATTGTAATTATTATAACACATTTTTATTATTATTCACATATTTCTATATTTAATATTTTCAAAAAATTATCAGTTTATTATAATATTAAGATACTTTTTATTGTTTTAATTATTTTCTAATATTAATATTTCACATTTGTGTAATTATGAATTAATATGTAAATTTAGTTAAAATAAATAAGCTATTAAAATTAAATTGTAATTTTAGGCACATTGTATGGTAGTCCACCTGTGTTTCATGTAAAGGCGAAATAAATAATAATATGAAATATGCAAATAATTTTTAGAAACATGATGAAAAACAGCAATATTTAACCTCAAAACTTAATATTTCCCCTTAATTGCTTTCTTAGAATATCCCATGTAGTTNAAGTGAGATTTCTAAAAATTAAAAAAACACGAATATACTTGGAAAAAAATTATTTCTTCAATTACAATAAATTTTTAACATCTTCTAATTTCTAAACTATTGAACATTGGATATTTTTGCGGCATTATCATATGGAAAACGTTCTGTATCTACTTTTCCATTAGCTATTCTCATTAGGTTTACTCAAATGCTTACCAATCGATCTGTTATGATATTTTGCTTTAATTCGGTTTGGGGGCTAAATAACCTTGCAACAGATGCTGTACTATTCGGAATCACTAATTAAATTTGTAGCATTGTGCACACACTTTCCTATCCTCTACATCTGCCAGCATAGATTCTTCAATTATTTCTGTTATGGAATAGTGAAGTTGTTGAAGTTATTTCCAATACTCTTTGTTAGGTCTTCCAGATTAGTTTTCACAGACTTAAACTTTTACAAATTGCTCTAAATTGTCGATGAGGGAGTTTGGTAATTCATTAACAGCGAAAAATAGAGATACTTTAAACAACTTATTATAAAGAACTCACTTTTTTTCTCAAGACTTGTTGTAGCTGTTTTCATGTCTTTTTCAAAATGACGGAAGACTAAATTTTTTCCAAAATTCGAGAGATTCGTGCATTTTAAAATTGATAAATTCAGTGCGCAAACTTCTCGCGCTAATCATTTCTTAATGCTAGAAAAGAAAAAAATATGCGAGATTCTCGCGCTATAGTGAAAACACTGATGATGAAAAACAGCAATATTTAACCTCAAAACTTAATATTTCCCCTTAATTGCTTTCTTAGAATAATNGTTTTTTTTTTTTTTTTTTTTTTTGTGGCTTGCCTAGAACTATTACCATGCTAAACTTAATATTTCCCCTTAATTGCTTTCTTTGTATTTCCCATGTAGTTCTTTTATTTTTTGTTTGTGTGGCTTGCCTAGAACTATTACCATGCTACCTTTTATGAAACTTCATGCATGCTAAAGACAAAGTTGGATAGAAATGGATTTAAAAGGAGGTGGTACATTGTGACCCTTTTTTTCCTACTTGCTCTAACAATAGAGTTGCACGAAATATTTTATTTTTCTATCAGAATTCTTGTCATATACTCTGTGACAGAATTACAGCGGCATTGTCGCAAAACGTTACAGATTTCTTGGGGATAGATTTTTCCTTTGAAAAGTAAAAAAATAAAAAAGTTTCAGCAGAAATTTTTTTTCACCTCTAGAATTAGACTTAAAAAGATATTTTTCTCGTGCATCCGAAGGGAAGCAAATGGTCATGATTTTTTAAATTTTTTCAGAATAAAAAAATTCCATAATGAAGCTAGAATTTTCTTTAGCTGGAATTTCAATTATAAAATAAAAAGAAAAAAATCTGAAATCTCTAAAGCTTAAAAGATAGTTCATTTTAAAAATTATGTTCTTTTTTTCATCCCCCCTTTCCCACATTAAAGTATCCTATCTTGTCTCGTATTTCAATAGTCATAATTTGACCTTTTTTTTTTTTTTTTTAAAGTTTAAGATGTAAAATAAAAAATACAATTTTTGTAAAATATTAATAATATTACTGCATTACTATTATTATTATTTGGAGAAATATTTTCTGTACCCAGAAATATTCCGAGGTAGTATGGCCACTGTGATAAATTTATTTTTAAAAACTCATTCTTAATAATTATTTATTTTGTTACAGCGCATATGGTGAAAATATTGTAATTTGCATTGCTGACCAGGATGGCTCTATCATCCCAACTCACGCGTCTGTGCAGGAAACAGACACCACAGTCACCGACATAGAAGATGCTTGTGCGGATACCGGTGGCCAGTTCTTTAACCCTGACACGCGCAAGCTCAAGGCCATCATGCAGCAGCTCGTGGCTCAGAACAAAGCCACCATCGTCAACAAGACTTCGTTGCATAACTCGAAAGGAAACAAACAGTTTAAAAGCGATGTCTGGAATTGGTTTGGAGATGTGAGGTTGTTCATTACTGAGAATGATGCGGAAAGGCTGAAGATACCCTATTACATAAGAGTAAATGGAGATGAGCAACAGATGATATGCAAAGTATTTGTGGGTTGTTTTCGATGCTCTGCATTATTTATGTACGATTCTCAGCACCATTCAACTTCCACACTTCGTTATCACGTCAGGGCTTGCACGAGACCCAAAGAATGGTAATAATATATTTTTTTAGCTATTTATTCTAATTTTTAGTTTAGTTAGTTTTTTTAGTTTTAGTTAGTTTTTTTAAAAAAATAAGGTTATTAAAGCCCTTACTCAAACTGGGCTCGAATCTCGTTCACTCAAATTGGAGCCTTTGAATTTTCATTGTTTTTTTAATTATTGAAATTAGTTTGAAAGTCATTTTTCTTAAGTAAATTGTACATTTTTTTTGTGAAGAAAGTAGAGGGTGCAATTCAAAGTCTGCAGATCATTTTGCAAGCTTAATAATATATGTTTGACTCCAGGGTTGGGTTTTTGACGTCAAAAAGTGGTTTTTGACATGACAGGGGTATAATACTGGTTTAAACCGTCAAAAACCCGTCGAAAATGTCAAAAACTGAAGTTTGCCAAGAAAATATATTAACTTCAAAACNTGACGGTTTAAACCATGGTTTAAACTGTCAAAAAATGTCACATGTCAAAAACCTGCCAACCCTGTTTGACTCATTTTCAAACATTAAAATATTTTAATCTCATTTATATACTTACTTAGCATTAAAGTTTTAATTTTAAGTCATTTGTAGATTTATCATGACTGATTTGTGGGCAATTTTTCAAATCTGGTGGAATCTATGAAATTATCAAATCTGGTAATTTTGAGTAGTCACAGATTTGGCCAGAAACATTTAAACCTTTACAATACTGTGTTACAACATGTAAGTTAGGGTGATTATGCTACCAGTTGACATCAAAAAATTTAGATCTGAGAGTGTAAAATGAATTTTAATTTTGAGAGAAAAATATATTGATTATAATAACTCAATTTCACTTTGTATTTTATGCACAAATAATAATATTCTAGTGTAATATTCTAGTTTTGTGTTCAAAAATATCAATATTATTTATGTCACTTGTTTTAAGTATTTTGCGATTTAATTTAGAAATAACACTATATTTTATGGATTACTGAAAACATTTGAATTGGTTTAAACTTTCTAATTGAACTTTTTTTAATAACTTTAATTTTAATAAGATAAATGATTATTTCATGCTCTACAAAGCACATTTCATAGTGTGCTGAAAGCACATTATTGTTGCTACTAGTTTTAATTTATTTATTTGTACTTTTATTTGCATTAAGCAAACTTTTCGTGTAACACTGGTTTTTGATGATTAGTAGAAATTTCTGTTATATTTGAGGTGTAAATTAAGATTTTAAACAACCTTATATATTTTTTAACTTTTTCACAATCGACAAAAAAGTTTATTCATATCAATTTCTAGGCCCAAGAAAATATGCGTTCAGAGCTAATGCAGGTCCTTTGGCAAAACGCTTTTAGGAATGCTTTCACCAAAGGCCTTATTGTGAATAGTGATAAGCAGAAGTAATTTGTAAAAAAAGGGTTTAGAATAGTAAACTGGCACACCAAAACATAAATATTTTTTAATAATTCCTCATGTTTAAATAGGAGATTCCAATTTATTATTCTAATCAGCAATTCCAATTTATTATTCCAAACAATTTTGAATGGTGGCGTAAATTAAATTCTCCAGCAAAATTTGTCTCTGAAAAGTAGTCAAAATGCCTACATTTCAAAAGCAGTTCATAGTCTCTACTTTAAAAAATAAAATAAAAATTATGCAGTTAACTACATTTGTAATAAAGTAGTTGTAATTGTAGTTTACTCCTAAAAAAATTAGTTTTTCTGAGGCTGACATTTCTGTATGTGTATTCAAAATCAATTTCAGCTCAATTCAATCTGTGATTGCAATTTGGTGTAATTTGATTGCTCTTTGGCATGATTCTACTCTTTTTTTAAAAAATTTAATAAAAAAAAAGAAGAAAAAAACAAATTTTGCTTTAACTAAAAAAAATTAGGTTTTTTTCAAACTTTTGAAGAAAAAAATTCGTTTTCATGCATTTTCTTACCTATGTAAACACGATTCAAAATTGCATTTTCTGGATTTAAAAATCAAATATTCACGTGCATATCTCAATTTTCATTCCCATGATTTAAAATTATACATCTAGAGTTGTATCCACGCGATCTAAAATTACACACCTCAATATGTATTCAAGGGATTTAAAAAATCTCCTCTTGCAATTCGTATTCATGCATCAAGATCAAAGTTTGCGCAAAATTAAAAAAAAAAATTACATTTTTATTTTGCCTTGTTCATAATTCGACATTTTTATTAACACATTGATAATGTTCTACAGATATATGCTTCTTACATACATTTCTTGCACAAATTTCAGGAATTTTTCCATTATTTAAAATTTGTTTTGTGATCATTTTTGGATTTCTATTTTCAGCTTTTTTTTTTTACCCAACTCATCCTTGCTTATAGGCCAGTATATTTTGTCAATTGTAATGCTATTTAATAAATACTTTCGCTTTAATGTTTTGATATGAAAAATTATAAGATGACTTGAAAACAACTTGTTTTATTGTGTATTACCAGAAGCATTCTATTTGGTCAGTTGTATTGTTAAACGTAATTTATTTATTTTATTTCAGTATTTTCATATCTGATGATAAGATGGATGATGAGAATCAACCCGTACCTGAAAATAAAACTATCATAGTCTCACAAGATGGAACCACAGCTAAGGTGAAGCGTTTTAGAACTGATCCTCGCAAACAGAAAGAAGTTATTGAACAGCTCTTCCAAAAACAGAAAGCGATAATCACCAGGAAATCTTTCATGAACATGAAGGGTAACAGACGGTTCAAAAGTGATGTTTGGAATTGGTTTGGAGACATCAGGCTCCTGATAAGTCGCAGTGAGGCAAAAAAGTTAAAAATTCCCTATTACATTAGAAGATGTGGTGATGAGCAGATGGTATTATCAAAAGTTTTTGTTGGTTGTTTTAAATGCTTAGCCTTATTTATACATGATTCCCAGAAATCGACGTCTACACTTCGCTACCACATAAGAACCTGTTCTCGACCCAAAGAACGCAAGAAAAGGACCACCCCCAATATAATATTTTTTCCAAATAATAAAAAAGGCATAAAACTGCCTACAGCTGCTTTTAATGAAAGTGATGCCATACCTGCACATGAAAAATTGTTGAACTGTGCTCTCAGCACCGAGAGCTCTTTAAGCATGATTCAAGAGCCAGAATTTCGCAAGATACTAGATATGTGTATCAAGATTGGTCAAACCTACGGAGATGTTAATATCGATAGTTTATTATGTGCCACTCCGACATTGACTAGCTTTATATTAAATGACCTTTATGTTACATCCGTTAATGAGTTCTACACAGAGTTTCAGCATTCCTATGGTGCCACTTACAGGTTAAGCGTGTGGATAGATGAGCAGGTGAAATTTCCTTTTGTGAGTGTTCATTGTAGCTACGTCAATTCTGGGGGTGCGCTTAAGAATGTAATTATTCATACAGACGATTTCGATTACGATGCAAAAACTCCGGAGGCTGTTCGGACGTGGCTGAATTTGTTCCTCGCTGACCAACCTGTTGTGCCATTCAAGCGATTAATTGCCATTGACAATGAATCCAATCTTGTGCCAGTTTTTAAAGAAGAAACGTGTGTCAAGTGCTGCATACAGAACCTGACAAAAAGTCTTCAGCAGACTGCCAGTAAAGGATTTGCCATGACGGACAGTGAACTTCCTGATTTCACAAATCTGCTGAGCAGCTGCATCGATCTTGTCAGTTACTTTCAGCAAATTTCTGACCAGTACGAGCTTCCAGAAGAGTTAATAAAATGCCCCGACAACAAATGGACTTCCCTTTTAGCCTTGTTCCGATCTATCGAAGAACAGTACGATTGCATTCTCAGCATTTTGAACGATACTAGTTCTACACACTTGTTGTCCGTTGAAAAGTCTACAATCACATCCATTGTGAAGTTCTTTAATCTTTTTGAAGATGCAATATTGCATTTGTCATATCAAAATAAACCAACTATCAACTTAGTTATTCCTTGGATTTCCAAGTTGCAAAAACACTGCTCCTTGGACAACGACGATTCGTCGGTCCTAAAACAACTGAAGAGTAACATGCTTCTCGAAATGGCCGAAGTCACCAGCAACTTGGTGGTGGAGCATCACATTGCAGCGGTGCTGGATCCTCGGTTTAAATCAATGAATTTCGGTTTTCCGACTCAGTACAAAGAGGCAAACGCAAAGCTGAGAAATCTTATCAAAGAATGTATGGAATCGCCAAACGTAGAGGATTTGGTGGATGTTCGAAGACCCTACTCCGAATCGGATTATTTGCCCTCTGGGAAATTGTATGATCCAAACAGATGCGAAAAAGCGGCGACACAAGAACTCGAGAAATATCTTTCTGAGCCATTCCAGCTGCTCGGCTTGGAAGACGAAAGTCGGTTTGATGTGTTGAAGTACTGGAAAACACATTCTGAGCAATATCCGGACTTGTGTAAAATAGCTCAATGGATATTATCATGTCCTGCCAGCTGTGTTGAGGACAATGAGATTTTCTGGAGCAACAATTGGCAAGTCCACTGTCCTCGCCTACCTCTTCCGCCTGACAATGTAAACAAAGTTTTGTTTGTAAAATCTTTTCGTGGTTTGTAAAATGTCGAACCTGTTTGTTTAGTCTGGAACATTGTGTATATTAACTTACTGAATTTGACTTGATATCATGTCTGCCAGGAGGATAAAGATGTTTCCTGCAACAACTCTCTCTCTTCCACGCGACTATATAAACATAGTTTTTTGATGAAGCTTTTGTGGTTTGTAAAATGTTATGCCGTTAAGTTTTATTATTTGTATCGACATAAAATATGATCTTAACTCTGACTTTGTTTGAACAGACTGATATGCAACACACTTCTAACTATGTGAGGTGTAATCATAAAAAGGATTTGTATACACTCCTTAACTGAAACATCAGATATGTAAACTTTATCAGGATTATAACTCTGATTAAGAGTCAGAATGGACTGATTGTGCTAATTTATTTATAAGTGATAAATTACCTGAAGTATCAATTATGTTAACTTAGTCATTTGTTACTTGGAGTTATTTTATATAAACAGGGAGCCACAAAAGTTAATATGCATGTGCCGTGTGTTACTACAACTTCATTTTTTTAAAAATATATATTTCCAAATTTTTGAAATACTGTAAAAGTCTGTTTAAGTTTATATAAAACTTTCTGAAATTATATAACTTAACTGTAAAAGTTTGGCCAGGTTATATTATGTGGTAAAAAGTTCATTGTTAATTCTTTTTTTTAATAAAATAGCAGTAATAAGTATTTTTTTATAAAGAATAAATTATTTAAATAAGATTATTTTCATGCAAAACAGAATCCACCCTATATGTGATGTCTAACATATGCTTACTAGCTTTCAAAGTTGGCAATTCTGCTATGTAATTGGAAAAACATTGCTAGGGCATGATGAGAGACTTATACTCGCATCCCTCGGGGATGATTCCCAGACACTCACCAATAGCCCATTGTGCAGATCTAGTGCAACATAATTAAAGTACCTACCTGTACTAGCGTTCCCCCCCTTCAATTGCATAGCAGTATTGTCGAACAAAGAATACCAGTGAACTGAGAAGATATCACCCCTTTTATACCTTATTAACTATGTTACTGACTGGGTCTTGGCTTTTAAGACTTACACAGTGACTCCCACTGTGGCTAAAAAATATGGAATATATTCAACTGGCTAATTCCCTGGCTAATCAACTGGCACAATCACTGTCAGAAGACATCAACTGGCTTGCCCAAATGTTTTTTATTTTTTTAAATTCAAGTTTATGAATTTTAGATCCAAAAATTACTATCAAGAAAATTATTCAAAGTGTGGTTGGATGAATAGAAGTTTTTCCAGGATTTAAAAATCAGAAAAACTTGATTTGTGCAAAGATACCAGAATATCTCTGTGAAATGCTCTCAGAATCAGTTTTTCTAATATTTCTTTTACTTACATAGATAGTATGCACATGTGATACAGGGTTCGTACAGACTCCTTATACTCCTTGGAAATAAAAAGGTCTCCAAGGAGTAATTGGAACTACTTAGATTTCCAAATTAGTCCTTAGAAACTTCTTAGATTATTGTGTTGCNACTTACATGGATAGTATGCACATGTGACAATCAGGGTTCATACAGACTCCTTTATAATCTTTGGAAATAAAAAGGTCTCCAAGGAGTCCTTGGAACTACTTAGATTTCCAAATTAGTCCTTAGAAACTCCTTAGATTATTGTGTTGCATAGATGAACTTACTAAGTCTGCTGATGAATTTGCTGCCCATGCAGAAAAACGAAACAATATAACTTAGCTGTCAAAATCTAATAGTTTAAGAAAAACTTTAAAAGAAAAGAAATTGAATTGAAAGAGTTAGAAGAAAAAAATAACAGCAAATAATTTTAATTTTACATGTTACAAGCAGACTTAATTAATGATTTACTGTGATTTTTTTTTATAGATGAATTGCCTTAAATTTTCTTATGTATTATCTGTACTATGTACTTTAACAAGATTTATTAAAATATTTGAAGCTGGAAAAAATGTTTATGTGTTTTCACACATAAACATTTTTTCCAGCTTCATTATTATTTTTCTTTAACTATAATTATTACTATAACTATTTATTTTTCTTGGTGAGGTTTGACAAAGTCGAAATTTATTTCAAAAGGGCTAGAGGAAAATATCTTATGCAAAATATAAATTTTTGCAAGTTCTGTATAGTAACTGCTTTTTGATTTAAAAAAAAAAAATAAAAACTGTCTAGTTATCTTTTACGCAATGTTTTTAAATTTTGGACTCCTTGGATTTCTTCTTTTGATCTCTGTATGAACCCTGGATAATATAATTGTATAAGTAGGGATGATAACTTTCCAAATTTTTGGTTATTAAGTTTTTTTTTCTTCCTCTGATGTACAATTCTTTGATTTAGTTATTTTCAACACAACTACAAAACTTTATATGAACAGGGTATTGGCACACCTGAAAAGTCGTGAATTTTGGTGTTGATTATAATTTATCATGATTTTAACTTTTAAAAAAAAATCATGGATTTAGATTGCCGAGAAATCTATTTTTTAAAATGAATTCACCCCTTCCCCCCAGTTTCATGGTGTACCGAATTGGTAACAAAATCCTCACTCGCAGTCATATTTTATTAAAATATAAAATGTTTTTATCATGTTCTTTAAAAATTATGGTGTTCATTAAAAAAATGAAAGAAAAACATCATTTCTAGAGCGAATTATCTTTTAAACTTCTGAAATTTCAGAATTTTTGTTATTTATTATTTTATTAATTTAAAATTCTAGCTGAAGCATGCCAGTCATTGGCGAATTTTTTTTATTCTGAAATGAGAGCAGAAAAATCAGGAGTGTTCTCCCTTTTGATAAACAAGAAAAGTATCTTTAGAATATAATTCTGCAGAAAAAAAGAAAAAATAATAATTTGCTTTTGTATTTTTTCAGCTATTTTATTGCTTCAACACTTTCTTTACTCTGTTTTTTAAATTTAAAATCTATAAATATGAAGATGCAGAGTATACCAGTTTTAGTTACATCTATCATTTCAATTAATGTTATTAGAATGCGTTTCAAAATTTATTGTTGTGTTTTTGTCCGAGAAAATAGTGACTTCGGTATATCATGAATTTGAAAATCTTAAATGTAGCAGATACCCTGTATGAAATGCCACATTCTTCCAACTTTCTTGTGGTGACGCTTTTAAAATGCTATCAAATTTTCTGAAAGTTTGAAATTTGCATTGTCTACCACTCTATCAAATATTTTACAATAAGTGTAGTAGTTAGCAGCCCTGTATAATTACACTTAGAGATTTATAAAAGAAATATATTCCAATCATTTTCACTAACACATGTATCGAATAAAAATTTAATTTCTTTATTGCAAATTTAATAGTTCCTTATGTGCATGTCCATGAAATATATATTGAATATGGTGCCGATATTTGATTTATTAAATGCCATGATAAAGAATTACAATATTTGTGAAGCAATGCAATTTAATATTTCTTAAATACATAGTTATAAAAATATAAGAAATTGTTTATTCTTTTACTCGAGAAAGAATTCAATGCAAAATTTGAAGATGTTCTTTTCTCTCAATGAATTTTTGGAGGTTGCTGAGAACTTTAAAAATTGGCATGTTGTAGTGATGCCAAATGTTATAATTTCTAAGACAATTAGCCAAAAATGGAAAGCTTGACTAAAAAAATTTTAATAGTACTCATTTATAAGATAAATGGGCAGCACTATATATAATGTGCAGATATGTTATCGACCAATTAATGTATATAGATGCAATGTAAATAAAATGTATTTTAAGTGAATGTGGATTGAATAAATAAAGTTGTCAGAATATTATTTCAATGTGATTAGTATGTTTCTCATTAACAGCATCATTCATACCTGTCAACATTGGACAAATAAAATAAAGGAAATTTTACAAGCGACATTCTTCAAGCTACAAGTAAAGCCTTGATACATCATGCATAATCGTGTAAGTCAAAATTGAAAATAATATAAGCACTTACAATCAGAGAAGTAAAAAATGTGTATGTAAATCTTTAAATATGTATATAAATATTTTTAATCTCCCTAAGTTGGCATCATTGCTTATTTATTTTTCAAGTACATCATACAAAACATTGCACTATTATTTATTAAACAAATGGTTAATTCTCATATTTAGACCAATAAGCAATAATTTTTTGTATAAATATTTATTTTAAAAAAAAAAATCCTGCATGAAACCAAAGTTACATTATATACAAGCATTTAAAGTTAACAAAAAATGTTTATGCTAAAAAGCTTATAAGCGTTGAATTTAGTTAGACATTTTAGGTGCTTACAAGGTATAACTATTAATTTCCTCTTGAAAATATGACAATTATACATCCATAATATGTTTGCAAGTAACAAAAATTTTGAAAAATAAAGAAATTAATAATTATGATTTCCAAAGACTGACTGTTTGCTTATAAGCTTATTCTATTTTTTTAAAATTATTATTGTGTAAAAAAATTTAACTTAACATGAATTTTTAAGATATTTGTGCATAACTTTTTTGACATGATACAAAGAAATTTTTGTATGTATCTAATTTTGATAGTCTCTTTGACAGAGGGCTTCTTTTATAACACTGCAGATTAACATGGTAAATTAATATGGAAACTAGATATGAAAGCATAAGAAAAATGTACCAAAATTTATTTTTTTTAGTTAGTAAATGTGTAAGATCTGTAGTAATTAGCACTATTGCCTAACACTTTATATGAATAATTTTTGAGTGACAGCAGAATTACAGTAATAGATTCTTTAAAATAAATATTTCTAGACTGAGATATCACAATCTACAGTCTAAAAGCGTAACATGGTCTTTGAATGGTTATTATGCATTATTTCAACAAAATATTAAAAAACAACATAACTATATTAAAAAAAAATAGAATTGTTTTACACCCTGGTGTACTTTAAAAATACAAAATCATAACTATAAAACTTCAAAACAAAATTAAAAGTGTTAAATCTTTCAACCTTTTGATTTTTTTAACAAAAAATTTCTTTATCCAAAATATGTTTAATAAAAATTAACTTAAAATTTAATATGTAAGTACCATACTGTGACTTAATTTTTTAATTCTTTAGACAATGCAATATTATACAATTTTATCATTTACTAATGTTCTATTAGAGGACTTAAACGCTAGAAAGACTGAAACTTAGTAAATACCTATATTGCCCAAAAGCAGCCAAAATGACTGGATTGTAAAAGAATAAATAATGTGTAAATAAATTTATTTAAAATTAATATTTTTTATACTATTTACAGTTATATAGCAAGTTATTAGTAAATATTAACGATAAAGAAAATTATATGTTGTACAAAAAGCCATGAAATTCTAAGAAATTGTGTCATTATATACATCATTATTTTTCGAATTGAAATTAAAAAGCAGTCAAAATTACTTCCCTTGGCAATCCAGTGTTAAAAACCTAAAACTGAGTTACAAAATTCTGAGACGTTCATATAATTTTTGAGAAAATAAGTGTTCATAAAATTTTTACTCACTCCAATTTTTAGAAATTAAAAATTGGTAGTTATGGGTGTAACATACTGCATTATATTATGTCTGTAACACACGGTTTTTAAACTTATGAAATAATTATTATTCTTATTACTTTAACAAAAATTATAGGAACTGCTCGATTTATTTAATATCTTAGTTAAATGCTATAAAGTCTACACATAAAAATTTCTAAATGTCGGAATCTTCCCGTTGTTCGTATTGAAATGGAAAATTTGTTTTATAAAAAGCTTAGGACAATTATATTGTGGCCCCATAAAGACAGAGTGCTGAACAGGAAGTATTTTTATGAAGTTTATTAACACAAAATGAATGACAGATGATTGTTTGCCTTTAGACTAACTTCTTGGCCTGGAAAAAACTCTTAAGATGCCTCATCTGCCAGAATCCCATCATTAAAAGAATCAGAGTCTGGGCAATGGACCAATACAGAACTCTCTGGTTGGTGCTTTCACTGGTCTGTCTAAACCGCTCCTCACGATACTGAAAAAAGTAAAACATTTAAGTGTTAAGATCTAAGGAAAATATTGGTATAGAACTTTTGTTGTCTTTTCACAGGTCAACAAGAGTTTAACATAAAGAATAGATATTGCATAGTAGAAGAACAAAAAATAAAAAGAAATTAAATTATAAAAACTGTAAAAATTTAAATATGAAGGAATATTACTCCAAAGAATTAAACTCTAAAAGAAATGAAATTATAAAATGTTTTTATTGTTTCACAAAAGTGTGAAACAATAAAATTTGTTATAATTTTATTTCTCTTAGAGTTAACATTTGTAGAACGAAAAATGCTATGACATCTGGCTAAAACAATTACAAATCATGTTAACAACTCAAAATATATTTTAAAAGACTGTTAAATATGCACTTTTTAAAACCTTACTAGCTTAACAAAATTGAAATACAAAAAGTTTATAAATAAAAAAAAATAACTTTATAGATTTTGATATAAAAAGAATTCATTATGACCAAAAAACAAAAATATTTAACAATGTAAGTATTAGCATAAATTTAAACAACATGCTATACTAAAATAAATTATCAAGTTTTAACTAAATAGGTTCAATAGAAATCTAGTAATACCATGATCTGCAATTCGATTTGGAGAACTTATTTTAAAACACAACTTTATAAAAATAATTTTAAACAAATTATTTTAGTTTAGTATCATTTATCGACTCTTCAGTGGGTCAATAAAACGACTGACAAGCATACTTGTGGACTGAACATTGTCTGTGTTCGGCTCACCACCGAACCGGAACATCTATCTGCTCTGCTCCTGCACCTAGAGCCCAAGAAAACTGGGATGGGCACAGTAGCCTTGGCCCACCATGGACTGTAGCCTTACAGAGTTTAAAGTAGAAAACACCATGAATAAAGCACAAAAATGGACATACTACCAATATAATAAAAAGTGTGATAAACAGGTGAGGAGGTTTGGTGGGAACCTCAGGAAGCAAAAGATTAAATTAGAATGTATTTCCAAATGCTGGGAAAGATTAAAGGATACTAGAAAGATCTTTAACTAAATTATTAAATTTTTCCAACTATGGAATGATTTTCGAGGTATAGGAAGTGACTATTAAAAATGATAGGATTCTTCAGGAAAAATATTGGATTTTTTAGGAAAAAAATATAGAACTTTCAAATACATATATATATATACAGTAATCTCTCAAAGTCACCAAGTTGTTGAAGGAACGTTAAAAAAAGAAAATTTGAGATAACAAGTTCAAAACTGAACATGATCTAAAAAGTAGAAAAATACATTCCAAAAAGAACTCTAAAAAGAAGAGTCGTAAAACATAAGAATAAGTACTATTTAATATGTGTGTAATGATAGTTGACTATAAGTCTAAATACAATGATAATTTAATTTTTAAAAGTAAGATAAAAATAATTATGCATTAAATAGAAAAGAATTGATATATAATGAACTTTCATTGTGATTATTGTGAAAAAATTACTGTTCTATTTCAAAAAGAATTTGACATATGTAAGGTTTTGAGAAGAAACTGTTTGACATAGAAATTCAAATTAACATTAGGTTGATATGTAATGTCAAGGGGAAAAATATTTTTTTGACATAATAAGGTTTTTGAGGTACCGAGAGCATACTGTATAAATATATATAATTTCATAACCTATTTATTTAACACCAAAAAAACATGTAAGCACTTTTCAACAGTTGAATGGTGACAATGATCATACACATCATATTATTTATTCAAAAATTAACAGGGTTCCTACACTATTTTGAGAAAACAATATCCTAACTTTTACAGGTTTTTCCTGACCTTTTACAATAAAATTCCAGACCCGCCATTTCCCACTCCAACAAAACTTTTAACATTGCAGTTTCAAATAGTAATAATATGCTACTTAGTCATAAGTATCATAGATTGAATAGGATAAACACTTATATATTAAAGTGGAATTGCGTAATAGCACTTTATATCCAAAATTATATTTTCAGAAAACTTGTGAAACATATTTTTAATTATCAGGATTAGATTAAACTTTTAGTGTATTTTTGTAGTTAGATACAAAAACTATTTAAATAAAAAGATCAAGAAAATCTGTTGGATTATGGAAAGATTATTTTATTTAATGTTAAGTGGAACCAAATGCATGAGTGTCGTCAGGATATAAAGGGTTAATCAAATCTGCGAGATATGTATCAGTATCCTCTAATAATATTTACTCTTAAAACATACTAGAACATTTGTTACATTAAAATATTAATTTGTAAAAATCACAATTTTACTTAAAACTGACGTTTCTTTTAAAAGATAATATTGAAATATAAAGGGGAAAAAAGTCAAGAAAAGTTAATTATATACAAATAAAAATTCAGATAGAAAAATTATGCAACTTGTGAGAAAAATAAAATCAAAAATATCTTTTTTTTTCAGTATTTTTAAATTTATTTCTGTAATACTGTAAGCTTCCGGAGAAACTCAGGGGCTCCTATGTTATATAATATTTCTCAACATATTTTGTTGTTTGACAATTTCTGAATCAAGAACATCCAGTTCTGTTGCAGCAGTTTTCGTCAATTTAGATTTTCTTAATTTCAAATCATCTATCTTTTCTTTTATTCATTTTCTAGAAATTTCATTTTTTTTATTCTTTCGTTATTATTATTATTATTTTTTTTGGCTTCTAATGCATGTATGTCTCCATCTTGTTCTAGATCCTTTTACAGCATCTAGCATTTTTTCATTAATGTCTATGTTTTTTATTCCATTTATAAATGAAACATAATCATACACACGCCTTTCTGAAATAATAGAGTCTTCATTGAGGTTTTCAACCAATAAGCTTTTATTGATTGAAACCCCTCCCCCTTTGACTGTTGCGTTACCATGAGAGAGGAAAAGAACAATTTTTATAACCTCCCACAAATTTTCACATTTTTTTTCTCTGCGCAAATATTTCGAAAAAAATTATCTCATCTCTTTTGCTATGGATTAAACTCTAAGAAACTCTTTTGCTTTTTGGCAGCATCACAAAACAGTAAAAATTCCTTTTTTGATTTTTCTTCTGTTGTTTCAGTTACTATTGTCTGTAAACCAGTTATTCACACAAAGAGCAATAAACCTAGCAACACTATCAAAAATTCCTTATCATTGAATAAACAAGAGGAAAATTGCTAACAGGACAGGTTCTACCAGGGAAAGAGGAATGTTATTATGAGGAAATTACACATTTTAAATTACAGAATTTTTCCTTGAAACTTTATTTTTGCCTGTCAGTCTTTGAATGAACTATAGTTTTTTTAATTTTCCTAACTTTATGTATATGTAAGAAAAATCCGGACTTTTTCCTGAATTTATGAATATGTAAGAAAAATCCGGACTTTTTAGCTTAATTTTAGAATAGCCTGACTTTTGCAGGTTTTCCTGACCATGTAGGAACCCTAATTAACTATCACAATAGGAAAATTAAAAAAAAAAAAAGTACATATCATTTAAGGAAGTAATTTAATCTGTTCCTTTTATTTCATTAAATCATGTGAAAAATTACTTATTATTGCTTTTAGGTTCCTTACTACAAAACTTTTCATTGTCAGCATCAATTGGTGCTTGACCAGCCAATGTCAACCATAGATTTTTGTTTTAGTCCTTGCATTTCCTACTTTAATTATATCATAAAGAAACATTCTCCTTAAAACCTTTCAATTTCTCTTCAGATGATTTTTTCAAAAAATGACTGGGCTTAGGTTCTCAAATTTTTTTCTTGAAATTGTTTATTTTTTCCACATCATTTTTAGAAATGGCTTCTTTGCAAAACTGTATCATCTCTTTTATGATTTCCATACCAGCAGCATTTTATCTAACTGAATCTTTAACAGCTCTCAGGCCTACTAATGTGTTTAACTTTATTCTTGATCTTTCATTAGTTGTTATTCGCTTGTTAACTGAAAAACAATGTTAGACAGATGCTTGTCCATGAAAAACAGTGCAGACTGTCTTCACAAGTTTAGTCAAAAACAAATATTTCACATTACCACTATCTTCAAAAACACCATTGCAATATTTATCAATTGCAAAATTTCCAGTTTCCTCAAGAATATCTTAATAATTTGCATAAAGACATCAGCAATCAATCATTTTATGAACACAGTCTTCAGAAATGATGTGGGGGTAGCACGTTACACAATTTTCTAATTAACGATTTGGCATCTTTTACTTATAACTTAACTTGTATTTCTAAATCAAACAAAATTAATAAAAGCTTAAATAATCAAATTAAATGAATAGTTGAAACTGAATTCAAAAGTTAATTATTGTTTAAGAATTAATTACAGCTGGTTGCATATTTTATTTTTAAATTGAGATTTTGCAGTTACAGAAAGTCTTATTACAAATGTGATGTCTCTAAATGACTTATGTAAGAACTTATGCATTGTCTTAAAAATTTTTATAGCAAGGCCAAAAAATTTTATTGCATTTTCTTCTAGGGGCTCAACACCTGGAAGGTTAATATAAGTAAAAAAAAAAAGTTCTTACTCTTTGATAATTTTGTTCCTTTGTTATTTGTTCAGTTTGGTCAAGTAGCTGCCTGACTCTCAGCTGTAATTCAGTCAGTTTTTCCTTTTGAGCAACATTTCCATAATCAACAGCATGCTCACCAACTTGTATATCCAAATGTACTCGCTAAAATAAAAATAATTAATATGAAGGCAAATATAATCAAATTATTATTTAACAAATATTTTTTATAAACTGAAATATTAGCTCAAGTAACTTTCTTTCATTTAGGAGCAACTTTTTATAAACAACATGATTGCAAACCTAAACAGGGAAAGAAACAACTTGGGAAATTGGCTAGTAAGAGCAATCTGATTTTCAGGACATGTCCCTTTCAACCAGAATGGGATATATATGTCCCAAAGACTAAACTCCATTCTCTAATGGATAAACAGATCCCAATTTTGCAAGTTTTTTTTTAAATATTTTCTTTAGGCATTTGGGAATAAAAATATGACTAAAGGAACTTGTTAACACTATCATATTCAAAATGGCAGACTCCTGTTTGCAAGCAAACCAGTCAATCTTGTTTTAATTTATTTATTTTCTAAACTTTGAGCTAAGTACAACTGTATTTTTGTCATATTTTGTGTAAAATAGTTATGGTTGTTCTCAATAAGTAATAATTGTACCTATTTAGTATTAGATTTAAGAAATATTGACAGATTTTGTTTTGTGGGACATAATGTTCCAATCGTACTTATCATTAAGGCAATATATCTTAATTGTGCTTATCACTGGGGCAATATATCCCATTAGTGATAAAAATATTGTAAGACAAAATTTTAGTTTTTGTTTTGATTATTTTCTAATGACTACTTCTGGTCAGAACAAATAATTTGATCCATTTATATTATTTTCAATACTTATTCCTATGCAATATATAGGTATTTTTACAATATTCGAGACGATTGGGACATATTCTTCCATGGAGATTTCCTGGAAAACGTGAAAAGTAGAAAACTTTAAACTCACAGTATACTTATTTTAATAAGTCAGCATTAACATAAACTGCTTTTTATATTTAAATTTTAATGCTGCAAAAGTAGGGTTGAAAGGGTTAATGTATTCTAATAAAAAATTCTTTGCATCTTGTAAAACTAGCTAAAAAAGCAAAAATAAATAAATAAAATAAACATGAGTCAATCTAAAAAATAAGTATTTGTTGAACATTGCAATTTTCTAACATCCATAACTGTCATATCATCTAACTTTCCGATCACTTGAGGTAGTATCACATTAAAAGTGAGAACATTTATTTATTAAACTCCAAATAGTGAAACAGAATGAGTCTACCAAGAGTGTTACAATTTTAAAGAGAAAATTTGATTATAATAAGCAAGCAAATCTTTTACTTTACTATTGTTATACGAAGAAAAAAAATAATAGTCATAGTTGATACTAATAATCTTCAAGAAAAATACTACAGCAAATAATTTAAAGATATTTATGATAAAATAAATGTTTTAACTGATGATTTTAAGAGTAGGAACAAGACAGAGATTTCAAAAAAGCAGTTTTATTGATGTAAACCTTGACACGTTAAAAGTATGCAACCCTACAAAGCTCTAACTATTATGTCTACTTATAATAACAGCCCACCAATTATATTGCTTATAATAATCAAAGATAGTTATCATAACTATTAAATTATTTGCAATAACATACAAAAAAAAAACGTTTTTATTAATACTTTAAAAATGCAGTCAAAATATAGAGAAATAAAAATTTTCATTGATACAGATCAAGTGCTGAAGAAATTAATTTTCATAATTCTTCTTATATTTTTAAAACAAAATTCTGAGTGTGCCATATGCATACATCCTTACTTGTGTGGTCAGTCAGGCATGTAAATACTGCATTTAAAAAAAATACTGAATAAACAATTCTCAAATTTAGCTCATATAATAAAAATAATCCTCATTATAAACCATATAAAAGAGGCACAAAATAAATTATTAAATCTACTAAGACCTAAATGTCACTGGATTTAAAATGACATAGAAATTTATAAAGCAAAGTTTATTTTCTTTTATTGTCAGAATCAGGTTTCTCTTTATTAAAATCAATAACCCCAATTATTAAGCATAAAAAATAACAACATGTAGAAGTTGGACTTGCAACATGTTAAATTACAGTTAGATTAGTTAAATTACAACCAAATGTTTTCATGAATATGCACCTGAAAAAGATGTGCAAAAAATTCATATAGTTTGTCTACAGAAAAAACTTCCCTCTCCATGAAGTCTAAGCACATCTGCTGCTATGGAAACAAGAAATAGCGCATTTCAAAGAGGGGAGCTTGAGCTTCTTTCTCTCGCCGACCCGAGCCAAAACCTGCTTAAATAATATAACGATAACTCGCTCAAGAAATGATGTTTTTTCCTACATTTTTTGAAAGAACACCATATTATTTAAAGAACATGATAAAAACATTTTATATTTTAATAAAATATGACTGTGAGTGGAGATTTTGTTACAAATTCAGATATTTGGAATATTGGAACGCAGTGAAATTGGAGGGGTAAATTCCACTTTAAAAATTATATTTTTCAACGACCTAAATCCATTATTTTTTTAATAAATTTTTTTTGTTAAAATCATGACATTCCAGGATTGGCGGATAGCCTGTAAATAGACCACCACGTTTTAAATGAACAACCATAAATTTAAAGACTTACAAGTTGACTTCCACTAAACCATTTTGTGCTGTTGCTGTACAAGCAGATGACGTGCTCTCCAGGTAAATTTGAGGTGAAAGAGAACTTTCCTTCTGAGCTGTAGACTTTAGACATAATCACTTTCTCGTGAGGATCACGAATTTCAACATGCATTCCAATGCCAGGGCTGGAGGGCATAAATCCACCAGTTTTGGGATCATGAAGTTCACATTTATAATTTCCTGCATTAGAATAGAAAAAACATTAACAAAAATGGAACAGATAACAAAGCATAGTACAGTGAACTCTCGCTACAACAACAATTCCCTCTATTTCAAATAATGTTCCACGATCCCGACAAACATGAATATGAATTAATGTTATCCACCTCTCAATAGTGCGACATTCTCTGAAGCAAAATTATTTCTTATTTTCTTCATATATTATTGGGTTTCACACAGGGTTCGTGATTTTTTTGATTTTCTTAAAAAAAATCGAAAAAATCGGATTATTTTGATTTAAATCGGATTTTTTTGATTTAAATCAGATTTTTTTTATTTCTATTCAAAAACACTATAAGAGCTTTAATTTATGATTAAAAAAACCTTATAAATGTTTAATCAAAATTAAATTAATATTAAAACTATATTATAACAATATTTTAGAAGTTCTAACTTACTAAAATAACTTTTCATTATAATGCATAGCGACCATTTTGTTACAAGGGCATGATTGAAATTAAAAGATAAAATAGATAATTTAAAGAATACTACTTTAACTAGTAACACAAAGTTTCAATCAGCACACCATAATTTTAATTTAAAATTGT